AAAAATATATATATCTCCAATTCAATTGCTTAAGGGGATATTAAACAAGTTATCCAACTTTTGATCTGATTTATGGGGTGGGGGAATGAGTAACTCCAGCCTCCGCCCCCCTTTTGCAAATGACCCAAAGGCCACTGAAGATCGTTCACAGGTTGCTTGCCTAAATTTTGGATCCATCTTGAAGCTACCCAGCCTGAAGTTTTTTAATCTGATCAAAAGACAAAAAAAATACGATGAAGTGCGCAGAGTGCAAGCCAATTAACTAGGCTTAATGTCCTTTGCTTTCCTTCAAATGAAATGGAAACATCAGTGGAATCAAATCAAATCAAATCCAAGTTGGGGTTTTGGCCAGCCCCGACTTCCTTTTTGGCCTGCAGCCAACAGCATGCTATTACAAGACCAGCAAAGTCATTCCCTCTGGCTTGGCCTGCATCTTCTAGCACAGTGTTTAGAACATAGAAAAATTAGGGACCTTGGAGGTCTTCTAGTCCAACCCCAGCTCAAGCAAGAGACCCTATGCCATTTCAGTCCAATCTCTTCTCGAAAGCCTCCAGCGATGGAGCACCCACAACTTCTGGAGGCAAGTTGTTCCACTGGTTTATTTGTTCTCGGTGTCAGGAAATTTCCCCTTAGTTCTAGGTTGCTTCTCTCCTTGATAAATTCCCATTATTTCTCATCTTGCCTTTTGGTGCTTTGGAAAATAGTTTGACACCCCCCCCCCTCTTCTTTGTGGCAGCCCCTCAAATATTGGAATACTGTTATCGCGTCTCCCCTAGTCCTTCTTTTCATTAGACTGGACATACCCAATTCTTGTTTTTCAACCTTAGCCTTGTTAAGATGCATGAATGGACTGCAACTTCCAGAATTCCCAAGCCAGGACACTGGTTGGGGAATTCTGGGAGTTGAAATCCCCCCCATCTTAACCCAGAGTTGCCTTGCGGAGAAATGGGCATCAAGAAAATGTAATAGATAAATAATATAAAATCTCAAAGCATGCTGGCTAGGTTTTTCTGGAGTTGGAGCCTTCCTGTCTTAAAGCATGCCAGCTGGGGAATTCTGGGAATTGAAATCCATCCATCTTAAAGCATACTGCTGGGAATTCTGGGAGTTGAAATCCACCCATCTTAACATTGCTCAGCATATGAACCCGCCCTCTAGGACTTCTCAACAAAGCCTAGTTGCAACAAACCACAACTCAACCCTGAAAGGGAAAGCTGGCAACTCCTTCAACAAATTTCCTTCTTCTGGAACTTCTCAGCTTCGATATACAGGCTCGCCACCCAACGGCAACCTTTTTTAAGGCGAGCCCAGTAAAACGGGCCGTCGAGAACTTGGGACTCATGCTTGTTCTTAAAATTTATTTTGGGTTGGGAAGAAAGGAAGGAAAATAAAACCCCAGGCGCTTGTTACGCTTGGCAGAGATTTGGGATCCTCGCGGCCCGCCCTGCCTGTTCTCCCCACCCCGCTGCTTAAAATGTTTAGAGCCGGCGAGGTCAGACGGGGTAACCAAGTTGGCGTGCCGGTTGCCGAGATCCGTCATTCCTAGCTAGAGAGCAGAGAAGGACAGTTGCCAAGGGGTTGCTAAACCCGGTCGGCAGAGCACATGAGGGGACAGGTGCCGACTGAAAACACAACAAGGAACAGGCGGTAGGGAGGGAGGGGAGGGGAGGGGAGGGGGAAAAAAGGCCGGCCGGCTGGGAGACTTACTTTGGCAGGAGCGTCTTGTTTTTCTCATAGAAGAGACGCAGGTCTTGAGGGCTGCTGGCCTGCAGAGGGAGGGAAAGGAGAGGGTTAGTAAAGGCAGACTCGCTGACTTGGTTGCGATGCAAGGCTTCGGTAGCCAAAAATCAGCCTATCCATCCTGGGGGGTCCATCACCGGCCTCTGGGGAGAGGTCACTGAGGGATTTGGGGAGGATGAAATGAGATGGTGGTGGGCATTCACCCCTGCCCTTCACAATATTCAGTCTGTCTGTCTGTCTGTCTCTATCTATCCATCCATCCATCCATCCATCATCTCTCTATCCAACCACCCAATCAATCTTTCTGTCTGTCTGTCTGTCTGTCTGTCTCTCTTTCTCTATCCATCCATCCATCCATCCATCCATCCATCCATCCATCCATCCATCATCTCTCTATCCAACTACCCAATCAGTCTTTCTTTCTGCCTGTCTGTATCTACCTATCTACCTATCTATTTATCTATCATCTATTATCTCTCTCTATCATCTACCTATCCAACCACCCAATCTGTCTGTCTGTCTGTCTGTCTGTCTGTCTGTCTGTCTGTCTGTCTATCTATCTATCCATCCATCATCTCTCTATCATCTATCTATCCAACCACCCAATCAATCTTTCTGTCTGTCTGTCTGTGTCTGTCTCTCTTTCTCTATCCATCCATCCATCCATCCATCCATCCATCCATCCATCATCTCTCTATCCAACTACCCACTCAGTCTTTCTTTCTGCCT